GAACGCTGCTTGTCCACACCTGCGCTTTGAAATTTGATTTGACATGACATTTTTTAGTGAAGGGTAAACAGTTGACCTTGTTTTCCACAGAGTTGGTCCTGTTTGATTTGATGACTCAGCTGAAACACGAAAAAATATATATTTTGTGAGTTGAAGCTTCCATAAAGTTTTTCCTTTTTTCAACACATAGGAAAAAAAATACATTTTATTGCTTTTTATCAGAGTCCAGTTGATTCAGTCTGTAGAACAATCACTGATACTCAGATTTATGAACTTGCTCTGTGGGGTTGTTACACGATGTCTCAACTCCTGGTGCTCGGTGTGTAAATAGAAAATAAAATAAAGCAAGTTTAATTGTTTTTATTTGAAATTCAGGTTAAAGTCTGGTTTTTCAGTCTTATACCTTCATAAAAAGTGATTTTATGTTGTTTTATTAATCCAGAGAATTTAGTAACATGCTTTTCAAATGGTTGGCTTTTACCCCTGGACCCCCCTAGAACTGCTTCAGTCCACAGCTTAACATGAGCAGGCGCTCCTCATGATGCAGACKTCTGGTTTTCTGTTTCAAATATTGTTAAATATTTGAATTGGAAGTGAAGTTTAGACAAATGCACACAGAGAATTTAAACGAATCGTCTCCTCAGGATGTTTTATAGTTCAAGCTTTAGAGCAGGTCTCACTTAATATCCCTGATATATTAATATACATATATTAATATCCTCTGATTCTGCTGTTTGAATGGACAACAAAAGGTATTTCTACTGTTTCTGACTTACTGGATGAACCAAACCTGATGTCATTTGATCAGTTGATTATTAYCTATGATATCCACAGACACGACTGCTTTACAAGTGAGGGACTACRTTTTAAAAAACACAACAGAGCTCAGTAACCAAACCGTCTGATTGTAAAAAACAAATATTTTAGCCAAAAATTAAAGCTCTWTAAAGAAAATGTKARATATTTGAGTGTTTGTAGGTAAAAWTGYACATGGTGYTCATGTTTCCCTCTTYKTGTCACAGATTTAATCCAGATATTTCTCTGCTCTGCCCCAAATGTATATCAGAGGTGGGTAACCTGACTGTCTTTGGTCCTGTAGGAAAATACAACAATTCTGGTTTAGTATAAAAGAGAATAGATATTTTTATAATTATATGGGACCCAGAGATGGAGACTCATGAATCGGTCTTAGACTTGAATCGCACTATAGAGCCCTATAGAGACTTGAACTTAAAAAAAAGACTTGCACACATCTCTGATGGGACCATTTGATGTTACGTGTGAACGTCCAGAATTCTTTTTCAAACTGAACCTGTTTTCTGTCAGCTTTGCTTCTGAGCTGGCTTCATGTTGTATTTTGTTCTGTTTTTACTTTTTGTTTGTTTTAAATTATAGAAACAACCAATAAAAAATGATAGCAGGATTCTCCAGTGGAGGTGGTCCAGTCTGAACGTAACAAAGCCCCCAGGTCTTCTCCGCGTGTGGCACCAAGTCAGACAAGTGTTTAAAATCAGAAATCATAGGCAGGGGGACAAAGCGTCAGGAAACCATCGGCTCTGATGGACCCCTGCAGGTTTCAGAGCCGGGCGGACCCCCTCACTTTTGTTATTTTGCTCTTTCACCAAACAGGATGTGGGCTGATGCTCTGCTTCTGCCAATATGTGCTTGTTCAACGTTCTCATCTTCAGACCTCTGCTTTTTTTAATGTGTCATGCAYTGCCCAACCGTGTGTGTGTGTACTTGTTTTTACTACAGAGTGAAGACCACTTGTTCATAGTTACGATCAAAGTGAGGTCTTTGATGTAAAGAGAGGACCTCTGCTGTGCTTTACTGGTTAGGTTTAGAGGTTTGGTGTGAATTAAGTTCTGGTTCAGGTTAGAGTTAACTATAGACCAGTTATGGTTAATTTTACTAGTTAGGTTTAGAGGTTTGGTGTGAATTAAGGTTAGTTTTAGGACCAAGCAGTGAATTGAGTTTAGGTTAGTTTTAGGGTCAGGTAGGTACCTGTGAGGTTAGTTTTAGGGTAAATGGTCAGGGTTTTGATGTAAAATTACCAAAAAATGAATGGAAATCAATGGAAAGTCCCCACAAGAATAGAGAAACATGGTGTGTGTGTGTTGTTCTTTAGCTGTGAAATCCCCCTGAAAACTCTCCAACGCAGAGACAGACCAGAGTGACATCAATAAAACTAACACCGTGGTGTTTTGACACAGAATGACGCCAATGAAATGCACGCCCTTATTTTGAAAATCCCTCCAAGTCTTTACTGTAAATAAAAAGCTGCGGCTCGTTCTCTTTGTTTTTATAGATTTATAAAGTGCACCACTTCAAACCACAGAATCATTAGTTTCAGGTTTTTGTTTCTCCAGTCAGCCACGTCTCGTCACCACCAGGTGAAGGTGAGTTTGTAGAAGAAGTCGTAGCTTTTGGACAGGAAGCTCCGCTCGGCCACGTGGGGCTGGAYGCTCACCCGGTAGCCGTGGCTCTCGATGTCCATCTTCACGCAGTCCAGCAGGTCTCCGACCGACGGCGCGGCCTTCCACGGCCCGAACGTCACCACCGACTCCTTGTCCGCCTCCAGGCTGTTGATGGCGCTGCTGTAGAGGCTCAGGTCCTCCTCGCTGCGCAGCACGCAGATCAGGATGGTGGAGCGGCGGGCGGCGATGGCCTCGGCTTTGGCCACACGGATCAGAACCTGAAAGACAAAAAAAAGAGACGTTTCCGACTTTTAACATTAAAGTGTCTGTGACATCAATTTTCCGTAATAAATATGAATGTATTTTTGAAAAGATAACGTTGATGACATATTGTAAAAATAATTTCACACCGCTGAGATGAACAGTTGTTGAGATATTTGTGTGTGAAGTAACAGGAAGTGATGTCAAAGGGGAATGTCTGAATGTGCACAGAGCGTTGTTAAAATGGCTAACAACACAGACTGTAGAGAAGAATTTGATGTTTCTTTAGATTATTTTAATCACTAGAGAGATCAGTAAATTAAAACCAGGGAGTTTTATTTCTCAAAGAGTTCCCCTTTGATGTCACTTCCTGTTTTATTTCAGCTGAGCCAAATTCAAAACAAAAAATATCAATTATGTGACGTAACAGGTAAAAGTATGTTTATTATTCCAAGTATCTTAAATATATATATTTTTCGACTTTTTGTATTTCATCGATTTGCATGTCACAGACACTTTGATATAAACACCAGGCTGGCAGCTCAGGTGTAAGATGCTCCGCCCCTTTGCTCCGCCCCCTGTCTGAGTGAAGCTCACCTCGATGTTCTCCTTGTAGTGTGGGACTCTGGAGAGGAACTGCTGCCTCCCCACCAGCTCTCCAAACATCTGAGGCGCCTCCTCCAGACGTTTGATCAGAGGTTTGATGTTGTAGTGGACCGCCTCCTTGTACACCTGTCCACCCACMCACACACACACACACACACACTGTTAATCTGGGATTAAAACTCCTCACACACCTGTCTGAGCGAGCGCCCACCTCCTGGACGTTCTCCGTGGGCAGCCTCTCCGATCGCAGGAACTCCAGCACCGGGCCGAAGTGGGAGCCGTCGCGGTCGATGAAGAAGCGTCCCTGGGAGTCGGGGCGGAGCTTGGGCTGCCCGCCGAACATCTCCGCCAGCCGGGAGTCTGGGGGCTTCCTGAGGGTGCTGAGGGTGGTGCTGAACAGGTGACCCCCGACGTTTAACTGGACCACATGAGAGGGCTGAGGAGCAGCAGCACAAACTGGTTGACTTCAATAAGTCAATAATGTGATGAATTTTGTTTCCAAAACAACATTTAACAAATTGAGAATAACACTAATAACACTGTTTTTTATTTTTATTATAAATGTTTTTCATGCTTTGTGTGGATTTTATTAAAATTTATTCATCTGAATCTTCTGGGGCTCCAGGTGTAGAATGAAATGTTAAAAAATGTCACTAACATATTTTTCATTATTTAGCTGCTAAAGATAATATTTAAAATCTAAATTCAAAATGTGTTCATAAAACAATCTGGTGGTCCAGCAGTTTGAGGTGCGGCTCAGACTTATGAATGGAGTATTAAAACTTAGATGGCTCCAGTCCTTTTTGAAGTATGGGGATGTTGTTTGGTTTGTGGTTCCGACATTTGTTTTTAAAAAGGTTGGAGGCATTGAGTTTTTATTGAAATGTGATTTTGAAATATCTAAATTGCCTCTCCAGCTCTCTACTTTTCATCAACAGGTTTTGTTACAGTGGAAAATGATGTTTAAACATAATTTTAGTCCTCACAATGTTCCAATATGGAATAACAGAGTTATTTTGAGTGGAAGAAAATCTATGTTTATGGAAGAGTGGTGGCACAAACAAATTTGGTCAATTACACGTTTATTGGATGACAACGGTAATGTCTTTAATCTGGAGGAATTTAATTGCAAGTATGGCATCGATTGTTTAAAGAAAAATTGTGAAAAAGTAGTACGAAATATCCCTGAAGTGCTCATTCAATTAGTTAAAATAATTTGTCAAATATTTCAACTCAAGACTACACGAAATTAAAATTGATTATGTGGACATTGTAGATAAAAAAATGCAATAAGTTTTTAAGTCAATATTTAATAAATACTAATTACCCAGGAAAAACAAAAAAACACACTCACCTTACAAAACTTTGACATAGCTATCA